AAGATTAATCTAATATAAAATAATAAAAAATATTTAAATGTTTCGTTTTTCTTTCAATATACTACTTACAGTAATACAAAGGGGAACATTGCAGTGTTTGTAAAATAAATGTAAGTTTTGTAAATTTTTAAATCCTTCGTTTTTTGTTTACCTTATTATTTTCAATGAACTGTTTACAATAAAACACAAAATTTCTTGATAAATTTCCACACGGAGTTTTTTTTAGGCCCAACAAACAGGTTCAATCTTGAAGATCGTCTCTGAAGATCAGCTCGATTTCCTTGGATGAGTGTGGATCTAGTCACGAATAAAATTAAAAAACGTGGACTGAATTCAAACCCATCCAGGGCCATCAAACGAATCCATTTTCTATCCTTTATTTGCGATAAATTGAAACTGAATAAAACGTAAATCACAAAAGGAAAGATATCCGAGTTAAAATTCGATGAAAAAAGTAGCGCGCAATCTTAACCGACAACGAACGGGATCACAAGACAGAATGTGGTGGAATGATGCGTTTGAAAATGGAATTGCAGAAGTTGCAGGTAGGGGAATAAAAGTAAAGGGGCCTGGATTGGTGTGGCTCCCTACTCCTCTTGTGCAACAAGTAAGGCCCTTAAGAGGGGAAGTGATCTTCGATGCATCGAAATCACGCAACAAAATGTTCAAAGTTTCTGCGAGTGGACCAATTTTTTCTTATACTTCGTTTCAGTGTCCATTATCATTATAAAATGATCATGATATCTCCTTGCATATTAAAATGAAGACATCAGTAACTACATATATGTATATATAAATAGATATATTTCTAAGTATTAAGAAGATAATAAGAAATCGTAGGTATCTTTTGTCGCGTAATTTGCACATACATATACGAGTTTTTACAATTTACTTTCGAAGATTCTGTAATAAAGATAAAAGCCTTTTGAGAATTCTCTTAATAATATGACACTCGTCTTAATGTTTCATACGTTTTAAAATTTACAATTAATCTCTTAATCCAATTAATCCATAAAATGTTTTCTTAATTTACGTAGTACTTATATGATCCTAAATTGCAAGCAATAAAAATTCCTAAAGGTGTAATAGCAGTGAGTTCACTAGAGAGTAATATTTGAATATTGTGTGCATATAACTAAATGTTTCACAAACATATATATGGTATGAATGCAAAGAAATCGAATTCATATTTAAGTTAAAAGAAAATATGGTTAATGTAATTAATGTTCCTTATTATATTACATATGTGACGTCCTTGGTCGCCCTGGGCTCCTTCACAGGCGGGTATTTGCGAATCTCTCAAAATCCCCATCTGAGTGATTCAGATGGTAACCACCAGATGTCTCATCGAAATCTCTCAAATTCAATTCTCTCGCAAGTGCTCGCTCCAGTCTTCATTTCTTTCAGTACGAAAATTTTAACCTTTATAGGTTTTCTTTGGAAATTTTCCTGCCCGAATATGCACCCGCATGGTTTTCAGACCAAATGTGTATCTTTAAAACAACTAACGTCTCTTCAATTTTTCCAGAGGACTTACTCCAGGTGGCTCTCCACAATTTTCAGGTTAAAGCAATAAAAAAAAAAGCCATACGACCTAGCACGAAAATATCAAAATATGTTAGCACCAATCCCAGGCACCCTTAAAGACAGGTGTAAGTACATGTAGCGAAGAAAGGGAGATGTGTTGTGACCTTCCTCCCAAAACCTTCCCCTGATTTTCCGGTCTTACTGAGGGTTTTCAGGCCCTCCTCGTAGAGTGGGGGCATATGCAGTACGCGAGGAAAAGAAAATGATGCAGTTTTTATTTTCCCATTTCCGAGGATAGATGATACAACTGATATAATTGAGTTTTGTAACTCATAACTTCATCCAACTTTTAAACTAGTATATATAAAAAGGAAGATTAAAGCGAGCACTTGCGAGAGAATTGAAGATTTTTAAAAGATTTCGATGAGACATCTGATGGCCACCATCCTGAACCATTCAGATGGGGAATTTGAAAGATTTGCAAGTGCATACCTACAAAAGAACCGAAAGCGCCCAGAGACGTCACACATACATATCATTCCATTTAAATAAGATGTAATAAAGATCTCTAGTTTTAATTCGATAGGTGATTTCTATAGGGAACTATTAATTGTCGTTTTTATAAATGTATGTAAATTACAATTTGCAATATATAAATTAATCTCTAAAATAAAAGTTCATAGTAATTAGTAAGGATTACTATTATTCATTTAAATCTTAATACTTACGCATTTATTTCTGTTTATACTTGATTGGCTAAATGGCATTGAAGCGACCTAATCCATTTTTAGCACCTAAATGAAATGTTCCTACACAGTGGAGAATGTAGTAAACAGATAGGACATTTATTTGTCTGATAACAATTTACCCGCACTGTATTGTACTTACATTAGACATTAGGCGCTATAAACTTTTGTAGTGATGGAAAAGGTGCTGTTCGGATTGTAAAATGTTTTTTGCAAGAAACATCAATGAAACAAAAGTATTTTAAAAATGCCATATGTGCACGTTTAAATAAATCGGTAATGGTATTACAGTGTTACATTTTTATAAAGGTATGCGTACTTTAATCACGATATTTACAGAAAATACTGATTACTGTCAATTTTAAAGGCAAAAGGCTGCCTTACTCTTTACATAGGGGAATATTATCTTATTTGTTAATGTTATAATTGTTATAACATTATTGCCATTTTTATTGTTATTATCGCATTTACAGTGAAATTATAAAACTATGTAATCTTTGAATTTATTAGAAGAACATTGAGATTTTTTAAATGTTGTATTTCATAGTATAATACAATACACTGTAATTTTGTACACAGTTTAAAACGTGGAAAATAACTATGATAGAATGTAATAAAAAAACATTATTGTAAGATATCTTGCTGAAAAAAATACTTTTCAGAGATATAGACATGAATACAACATTAAGCACAGGCGACAGTGGCGGTGATAAACGTTTGCCAGAGACAGCTGTACAAAATATAGCTCAGAATTTAACTACTATGCAAAATATGCAAAATGTGCAAAGTGTTGTTCAAAGTAATATGCAGAATATTCAATCAACACAGACCATAGTGGGATCAGTTGGAACATCCACTAGCCTTGTAGGTAAATCAATGTCAATGGATACAAATCCAAAGTTACCTCTAATGAAACCTGTAGTTCCCTCTGGTACCACCTCAACTTCAGAAACAAATAAAATAACCACAACGGTAAGAAATATTGTTTTTTGTTGTTTAAAACTGTATTATAACTAAATACTATATAAATTACAATCATTATCAATTAGAAAAGAATTATGACAGACATTAACCTGTTTTCATAGATCTGTTCTGTGGGCTCGACAGTAAGAATAATATCACCAGGTATGTTAAGTACAGTAGAACGTCAAAATCAACCACAAGCTCAGCAACTATTACAACAGACACAGCAAGTGACAAGTATGCCAGCAACGTATCATGTACCTAGAGGGCCAGCTGCAGTTGCTAATATTTCTGCTCCAAGGTCAACAGTGGCTACCCCTATTGTTA